GGAATCACAGAATCATTCTGATTGGAAAAGAACTTTAAGATAACTGACTCCAACTGTAACTACCAACCATTAACCTAACCCTGCCAAGTCCAGTGTTAAACCATGTTCCTAAGCACCACTTTTAAACACCTCCAGGGGTGGTGATTCAACCACCTCCCTGGGCAGCCGATTCCAGTGTTTAATTACCCTTTCAGTGAAAAAGTTTCTTCTAATATCCAATCTAAACCTCCCCTGGCACAACTCAAGGCCATTTCCTCTTGTCCTGTCACTTGTTACTTGGGAGAAGAGACCAAATCCCCACTTGCTACAACCTCCTTTCAGGCAGTTGTAGAGAGCGATAAGGTCTCACCTCAGCCTCCTTTTTTTCAGGCTAAACAACCCTAGTTCCTTCAGGAGCTCCTCATAAGACTTGTTCCCCAGACGCTCCACCAGCTTCACTGCCCTTCTCTGGACTCTCTCCAGCACCTCGATGTCTTTCTTGTATTGAAGTGCCCAAAACTGAACACAGATCTTGAGGTGCAGCCTCACCAGTGCCGACTGCAGAGGCACAATCATTTCCCCAGCCCTGCTGGCCACACTATTCCTGATACACTGCTGGGGGCTGTTGTGGCTGAAGTGCAGGACCTGGCACTTGTCCTTATTGAACCTCATACAATTGGCCTTGGCCCATCTATGTAGCCTGTCCAGGTCTGCAGATGGAAGGAAATGCCTAATCTTGCCCTGAAGTTTGTGTCCTGGGCCAGTAGTTTTAGGTCAAGGATCTGACGTTTTCCATGCAGCACCTTGTCCAAAAGCAACCTCCTCGCACTGTGAGACCAGGTTCCTCCCCTCTTCTTCCAGATTTCACCCAGGCAAAGGGCTCCTGTCTTACTCGTGCCTGTGCAACATCACCAGCCTCTTCAGGCACTGCCTTCCAGGATGATCCTGGCCTTTGCCTTCCATGCACGCTTCAAAAATATCAGGGTGCAAGGGGAGAGCTCTTAAAAGGACAATTTCTCGTGCTTTGGCTCCTTTAACACCGATACAGCTGGACCAACCAGAACCCCCATCCATCAGGAGCAAATTTCCCTTCATCTTGACAAATCCTTCTAATTCTGCAGTCTACCAGATAAGTCTGAGCTGCTCAAGACAGGCACATTAGGGTCTTTTGATCCCCACTATGCCTCCCAAAAGCAGCCAGCCAACCACACCTTCCAGTTTGGCTACAGTGACTAATTAGAGCAGAACAAGAGAATTAGCAAATCAAGAGGGCACCTTCTACACAAGTCACCTTCAGCCTCACTCAGTTACACTGGTCTGCTCCAAACATCCCCAGCCAGGCTCCACCACATGAAGCCAGGCCTTTTCCCATTTAGGGTCACATTTCTAACAAGCCTCTGCACTGTCGATACGTACAAGCCCTGAACAAAAGAACACTAACAGAACACAGGCTTCATTTTTCAGAGACAAATTACTCCCAACTGTTCTCAGTTACCAGGCCAACTTGAAAAAAAAAAAAAAAAGGAAGACAAAAAGAGAGAGAAGACTTGGCTTTGTGGGTTGCTGCTGTTGAGCAGGCTGCTGGCAGTGCGTGGCAGGTACACTGGGTTTGGTACAGAAGGACATGTGCTATTTAGGACTCTCAGAAGAGCATCCCTGCTCTCTTGAGTCTGGCGTGGTCTCTCTTGCTGTCACCATCTGGGACTCTGCTAGCAGTTCTCACACAGATCCATCATAGGATTGGTCCTGTGGCCTGGCAAGGCCTGCCTGGGGCTTTTGGATACCTCCTGGGGAGATCAGGGTGGTTGCAGCTCCTGACACCCCCCAGGTGGTGAGGGCTTGTTAGCAGTGATGGCACCTGGTGGAACCCTGACCCAGCCTGCTTCAGCCTCAACAAATCCATGTTGATTTTCTAACCTGGCAGTTGAAACAGGGCTTATGGGTGAGCAGGGTGGAGGTTCATCTTCTTGAGCCCAGGGAAGGAGACTGTAGCCTCCCAGAGCTTTACTCGCTAGAAATGCCACTTCCTAGAAAGCCCTTGCCCAACCTGTGACAGCAATAGG